GTTCAAGTTTATCATTTAACCTTCATTATCACCATGCGACGTTTGAATTTCGTAATTGCACATTGCTGTTTTTTATCATTCAGCATTGTTGCGTGTGATGCCACATTGGTGTTTCACAATGAGACATCGATCGGAGTTTTAACATATTCAACATTCAAGTTTCAACATAGGCAGCCCAAGCTCGCGTCACTACAGACAGCCATTGAGAATTTAAACGCGTTATAAGACTTTGTATGGGAAATCAAATACCGTCGATTATAAAGCCTAAATAATGCTCAATTTAACTTTCATTCAATAAAATGAATCAAAATGACTCACCTCTGGTGTATTCTTGAGCCTTCTGGAGCTTATTACACCGTTTCGGTAGTTCTGTGTTTTCAGTGTTTTCAATGTTCTTAGAACTCTGTGTTCTTAGGCCCGGTTCAAACGTCGAACGGCACTTTTGTATTTGGGTCGACTCTGCCGTTCTATTCGACTGAGCTTGTCGAATAGAACGGCAAAAGATCGACTTCGATTCATTCGTCGTACTTCACATGTGCCGAACCTAATGCATAAATCATGACAACGTATTTTTCAATATAACCGCGCTTGTGATTGGCTGTTCAGTGGGTTTTGGCGCCTATGCTGACAGAACTCACAGAACCGTAACGACGGTTACCATCTCAGGTTACCAGCATTCACGTTGTAGATTTTTAGACTGTAACTGGACAGCTCAAAGCGGTCTTCTAAAGAGTTGCTTTTCTTTATATCTATAAAGAAATCGTAATGTAATTCAAAATTTATTGCGTTACTTTATTTTGTTCAAATATCAAGATCACGATCTCCTCATGATGCATGTAGTAACATACGAAACGTTAAGTTTATAAAAGTTATGCATTTCAAACAATTGTTTGTAACCGCTGTTTGCGTTTTATTCTTTTGGGAACAAATGGCCCAAGTCAAAGAATTTTTATGAAATATATTAACTTGCGTAAATTCAGTGCGTTGCACAAATGCGACACATATAGTAGCTCATAAATTCGCATACCTCTACAGACTGCCAAATTTGTAGCCACGATTTTCAAATCTTCAAAATATTTATATCCAAAATCAATAAGGATTCATTTTGCTGAGTTCTTTAAAAGGAATCTATGTGTGACGAGGTATACCTACAAAGTATGCTGTTTAAAAACAAAGCATAGCAAATTTGACCAACATCTCAACCTGAATGAACATCTCACCAGGTAAAAACAAATACAGCACGTTTTGTTAAGTTTTCTAGTGAGTGACTTTCAAAGACAGTTAAACGTAATTTAAACAAATCTTTGTCGATAGGCTAGAATTTCCGAATACCCAGCTATTTCAGTTACATACCACTGGATAACAACAATCTCCATTGTTGTATGCCTCGTTCTTCAAAAGCTAGCTTCTCGCGACACGTGTAAACAATAGCCGGATGATCTTAAACCGAGACTTTTCTGTCATTGCTAACGGAAATGAATAGATTGTGGTGGTATTTGGAACTCAAACTTGGAAAGAATTTCCAGCCAACAATTTCTCGAAACCCAAGACAATAGTCATGTAAAATTAATCGAACTAGAGTAGGGATTATTGTAAGCGGAAAAGATAAATTTTAAAGTCTCACCTTGACGAAGAGCTTATTACTCCCTGCTTGGACAGAGGATGACACGTTTACCACTGTACCATAACGCTGTCCATCACTCTTTTTTAGGGGCGAACCATCGCGAAACACTTTTGGCTTGTCCCCGCGTTTTGCTAATTGGATCGTCCAGAGGCCCATTTTGCGAGTAAAGGCAGGAAACGTTAAAAACGAAGCTTCTTCGGATGTGCGACAAGTTGTAAGAACCGGAAACGAATTAATGTGTCAAAATATTCTAGCCGGTACATCTGAAAAGTGTTTGAGGGTAATAGAATTTAACAAATCACAGGGATAAAGAGAGACAAAGAACGTTGAGAGTTTCGTGGAAATAGTCCAATGATTTTGAGACACGTCATAGACACGTCATTTTACGTTACTGTGTTTAATCGAAACCGTTCCCATGCACGAGGTATACGCGAATAATCGACAACTTTGATTTACTACAGACCATCCGATGCACTTTCAGTGACAGATAACATGCGGAATACGTACAAGGCACATTTCAGCCATTAACCGTGATTATGAGCGACAAACGGATAAGTGAGGAAAAAGAATTTCTTGAAGCTTTATGTCAACGTAAAGGAGATACTATCTTTCAAAGTACCCCTATCAAGAGGCGTCGAGGTGGGGACCATTGCGCTGCGGCTGGAATAAATGACAACGGTGAGTGTATCAAATGGTAAGCGTAATTGCAAAACGCCACTACCGTAAAGAGCATGTAGACACCCTTCGCTCGGAGACGAGGACAACACGCAAGATATTCCCCAACCGTTAATGCCAGCAGATGAGCTTACTATTTATGATTGCAGAATCCCCGGCCCAGCAAACGCCCTACTTAAAAAAGCTGCCACCGCGGTCCGCAGTCCAGTAGTCGATGAATGAAAAGTGTTAAAATGAACTGCCATCGCGGTCCGCAGTCCCATAGTCGATGAATGGAAATTGTTAAAGGGAAAGCATTAAAATGAACTGTACTTTAGTATTTGAATATTATAGTATTTGAGTATTGGGGTATTTTAGTATTTGAGTAATTTATTAATTTAGTATTTTAGTTATTAGGGTATTTAGTTTAACATGGCCATAAGGGAGAATACAGTTTTTCTACTGTAATTATGCACCCTATAAATAAGGTGTTCTAAAGTGTTCTAACTGCCACCGCGGTCCGCAGTCCCGTAGTCGATGAATGAAAACTGTTGAAAGGGCAAGCAAAAATGAACTGCCACCGCGGTCCGCAGTCCCGTGGTCGATGACTGGATATTTGATAACCCGAAGAGTAAAATGGTTGTGACCGGGGTCCGAAGTCACGTAGTAGTTAAATAATAATTGAAAATAACGGCCAGTTTTTAAGTGGCGTTTTTAGGATTTGTGGATTAAAGAAGGAGGTGTATGACACGTTGAGTGTCCTTAACTGAACCACAAAATGAAAGCTAAAATTTTACGAGAATGCCTAGGCCTAATCACTGAAGCGAGCGCTTAGGCTTAATGAGTAGACGAGTGCTTTCTTCTTCAGACGATCTCATGAAAAGTGTAGTTAACCGAACCGCGAAATGAAAGCTTAGCAGTGATTGCAGAATACCCCGTTTAGGAACAGAATTGTTTATATGTATCATTTTCTGTCCCATGCCACTGCGTCGTAAGAATTTTAGCTTTCATTCTGTGGTTCAGTTAACGACACTTTCCACGAGTTCGTGTGAAGAAGAAAGCACTCGTTTACTGATTAAGCCTAAGCGCTCGCTTCAGTGATTAGGCTTAAGCATTCTCGTAAAATTTTAGCTTTCATTTTGTGGTTCAGTTAAGGACACTCAACATGTCATACACCTCTATTATTAAAAGAACGAGGGGCATCTGTTACCTTCTTAATTAATTGTAAACTGCGTGACAGCAATAAATTAGTCTTGAAAAGCCCCGAGGGGAGAGACTAATAATTTCACTTCACTTCACTTCAAGACTGCGAGAATGCGGTAGCAGTTTTTAAGTAAGACATTTGGTGTACCGGGTATTTTGCAATCTAGCCCTATTTAGTTCAGGCAACCCGCGGACTGGAACGTTAATGCCAGCTTGTATTCCGACAATCAAGAAGAAAACCGTGGTGCATGCATGTTTTTAATTTTGAATGGACTTTATGGACTAACCAGTCATGATGATGATGCACCAACAAATTCCCCGCCCTCTTAAAAACCTTCTATAATTCAACTTAAGATGGCTCTTTTAAGGATAAACGATAAACGTCGTTCTCAGGAAGAGAAGATTGAAATATTGCTCCAGGCAGCTACAGGTAATTACTGCGCGCTCCTGGGGAAAGTCATAATCATCGCGCCACGTGAACAAAAGTTAACGGACATAACCTGCGATCTGGGGCCGGTTGCTCGAAGCCTGGTTAGCGCTAACCGTTGGTTAAGAGGTATCAAAATGTATAGGTTTCCATGCTATTTAGCGCTGGTTAGCACTAACCATGCTTCGAGCAACCCGGGCCAGGCGTACTTTTCTTTAGAGAGGGCGGAAATGTACGCCTGATACAATTTTCTTGACGAGTCATCTGCCTGCAGTCCAGTTCAGCTGATCCAATTATGTCTGCCGAGAAGGATTCGAAGAGGAGTGATGTTTAGGCTCTGTTTACAGCTGCTGTTGCTTCGACTTCAGATTTTTTTCCAAAAAGTCTTTAAAGGAACGGCAGAGAGAATGCATCCAAAGAATGGTTTGTCTAAAAGAAGACATTATAGTTGTAACTTCCATCGGAATTTGGCAATACCCGAACATTATAGAAAAAATGTATCGTACCACTTCCATCGACTCGGAAACGTTTGTGATATGGTGAGTCCTTTGGAATGTATTCGGAAGGATTCGGAAGCAACAAGTTGTGAATCAAATCATAAAATGCGCCAGAAACTTGTGTCAAGTTTTGTGCCTATGCATGTTGTGATATTTTCATGTGTAATATATTTCATTTTCATTGAAGACTTTTGCTGTTGTGTTAGGAGTTGATGTCCCAATATTATCATTATACCTAATGCAAATTTGTAAGCGCATCTGTTTTCTAAGTGCAAATTTCCCTCTTATAATAAGCACCTACAGTAAAAGAAGGCCTTTGAAAAATGCAAGTGTTGTAATCATGACAGCTGAAGTAAAAGCAAGGAACTAGAGTATTTGTAGATCAACACTGACTATTATCTTTGTAATGGAAACTGTCTCAGTGGTCACCAAGTTGTAAAATTTAGTTGTCTTAACTTTTTCCCTACTTGTGTGCATTTTTTGCAATCCCTTAGATCAAGTTAAACTTCCTTCCTGTGGGGCACACCCATGAAGAGATTGATGCTTTTTTTTTGGGGTATATTCGAAGCACCTGGATCTAAATGATGTTTACACAATGGATGGTAGGTGTATATATCTCTTGTAATACAGTAACCTTCATTTTTCCAAGTTTGGCAAAACAGGTTCTTATATTTGGGGAAAGTTATTGGCAAAATTTAGGCTAAAGTAGGTTCTTAATTAGGTTCTTAAGTTTTTAGTAGGAACCATTCATGTACAAGCAGAAAAAGTAGGTTTGGTCCTTTATGATACAGCATTTATTTATAACTGTCTTGTCATGAGCCGTGTGCAAGACTGACTAAATAATTATAATTATACACTATAAACCGTACGCGCGTACTTCCCATGAAGTATTCCCTATTTCTCAAAATCAGTTATACTTCATAGTGAAAAATGCTTATGAAAATATTCCATAAGTCACGTATAAGAACCTAATAAATTTTGCTTGGCTAAACAGGTTCTTATATTTTTGGGTATAAAAATGGGAAATTTCTGCCAGCAGGTTCTTAAACCGCTAGGTTCTTACACGCATGTTTGAACTAAACAAAGGGGTGCCTGGATTGAAGCATCAAGTAATTTCAGATAAACTGCTGGATTCATCTTTCAGTTACCTTTGTGTATGCTCGTAAATAAAGGGATAATTTCATATGAGATCATAAGTCACTTGGGACATAATACCAATAACCCATTCACATGAAATAAGAGATAGATTGTTGCAATTATAATTATTTATTAATATTAATACTATTTACTGAGATAACATTTGCAATTTTCTTTTCTTCTCTCCCATAGAAATGCAAGAGGCAATGAAAAATTGCATACAGAATGTCAAAGTCCTTCCTTTTCTGTTGGATGCTGTGTACAACATAAAAGAGTGGCTGGCACCTCATGCAGAGCAACTGCATGACCATACTCAGCCAAAGTGCTTCAAATTTGTCAGAAATGCTGCTGGGAAGTGCCAAATGTTTTATCGAAACTACTCGCACATGCCATGGGAAGGTCCTGTGATTATTTTGAAGGTGCAGTTACAACCTTTTATCATTTGTCTGCATCTTACAGATCATAATACTAAAGTGATCTTTTAATTAATGCATTGCACTGTTAATTGTTCATCGTAAAACCTTTGTTCTTACACTAGAGTCATCCAGGTGGCAAACCAAGTCTTGTGAGACCTGTGTTAGACAGAATTGATGTTGAAGGTTTGAAGCGTGACCTTAACAAGTTCAGAGATCACTACCCTGAACAGGCGTTCTCATTTTGGAGTGAGTGGGTGAATAACGTAGACAATTTGGCTGCTGTGCCAGAGGCATGGGAGTGGCCTTTGAATGCTATTCTGATCGCAGAGAAAATAAAGCCATATACGGTTGATCAATCTGTCCCTGAACACCTGCAAGCTCTACAGGACAAGGAATGTCGGCCAACAAAACAGGCAAGTTGAAATTGTCTGAGTTGGTGAATTTTCTGTTATAAGTCTACTTTCTAAGGGTTCACATGTTACGACTTGGCAGCTCTTTAAGTTAAACATTCTCTCATATCTGAGTTCGTCAGTTCTTTAAGGTTACAGTGTACCTTAAGGGGTGGCTCCAGTTTAACGGGTGTAGCGCCTCTCGGTTACATCACAGATGCCCAAAACCCTATATCAAATTAAAGCTTATGGAACTGGGTATTCAAATATTTCATTGCTTTTTCAAGAAAATAAATTCCTAAGTTTTCCGCGTAGTCTAAACTTGAAGGCACAGATCGTCTTTCTACAGTTCCAACTCAATGCGATTTTTACATTTTGGAAGTTTTTTTTTTTTTTCTCACGGTCAGCATCTCAAAGGTTAAAAAAAACGTGTCAGTGTTTTCCTTAATTCGATTGCGTTCAAAAGTTACGGAACATTTTGAAAACTGCAAGAAAAACATGCGGAGTGAACGCACGGAAATGGCTGTCAAGGAAAGAGTTTTAAGAATTATCGAATTCCCACGACACGTCTCTGTTGATTACATACCTTTCTAGCATCTGGCCAAATTTTACCGAAATCGGCCAAATCGTTGTTGAGTTGTAACTCTTGAAAGTGTCTCCTTGAAGCGAAAATTAAAGTTCGAGAAAAGAGCGCTCAAAAAAAATTATCGCTACAGAAACAAGTACCGCCCCTAACGCCTTTACGGGAAATTAGGCAATTGTTTCGCAAGGCCTTTTTCTTCCGGTTACCTGCTGTGATGATTTTCTCGCAATTTTGCACGTACTCCCGTTACAGAGTAATCAATTCCTTCGCCATTTTGTTGGATATTTGCGGTTTTTATTTTCCGTCGATATTGCATTTTGTATACATAATCATCGTGAAAAAAACTAAACGAGGAAAGACCTCATCAAGCAAAGCTGTTGGGCCCAAGCCGAAGCGACAAAGGCGGGCTACAAATCATCAGCAGAAAGAGCGGCGGAAACACCAGTACCGGTGAACCATCGTGACCGCATGATTACCTTATGCTGTCAATCAAAGTGGAGTTTAACTTCCGGTGGAAATCGCTTACATCCCAATTTCTCGGCAAATATTCACTCTTTTGAAAGATCTTGCTGCAAAGTTTATTTCCAACTTAAAAACGAAAATCGATTTTTTTCCCTCTGAACGTACACGGTAACCTTAATTAACCTTTTCTGATTAAACTGTATCCTTTTTCAGATTTACACTGGAAGGTATGTTGCCCCCAGCAACAGAGAAAATCCTGTTGAACGTGTTGACTCTTTCTACGAAGGGCTTCAAATTGAAACATATGCAGCAGTTTTCTTATCAAACTGTGAAGAGGAGCCAGTGATTGGTGTTTTAAAAGAGATCAGTGAGGATCATTTCAAAATCCATTACTGGAAAGGCACATACAGAGGAAAGTGGTCACCTTTAAGCCTTCCAAGAACAAGGGAACCTTGGACAGAAGTTCTTCCAAAGGAGTGTATTATTCTCCACTCCTTTGAACTTACTGAAGCAAAGAAGCTGCAGGTGACTACAAGAAGGCACTTAATGGAAAAGTATTCCTCACTGAGGAATAGTACAAATAATTCATAATCACCAGGATGCACACTGTTAAAACCTTCACTCCCAGTGCCCATGTAAATATAGGAGAAAAAATCTAATTCATTTTTTGTGAAATACTAAACACTATAAAGCACCATGTGAAAGTTCTACTGAAGAGGCTTTATCTGAATGGTTAAACCAAGTATTTTCTTCGAGACTGAACAGTTACAAAGAAATAACTGAGAAGATTTTGAATGATCTTATCATGGGACACTCATCCAATTCTGTGTTGATAACACCTGGCTGTATTCTCAAACCGCATTGGGCTTTGAAAACACCTAACTATCTGGTTGTTAAGTATTGCGTTTGCTTATCTTTTTCACTTCAACCATGCATTAGTAAAAAGTAGATATATAATATTTTGAAGGTTTTTTGGTTTCAACTAACAACTGTATGCATGGTGCAATAGCGGTTAGATTAATTTTATGGAGTATTCAATATTTAGCCGCAGCTACGGTTATGATGCCATGTTTTCGAGAATTGTCGCCGCTGCACTAGTTATTGACAAACCCCGTGTGATTTTGATGCCAGGGAATCAAGTCATTAAATTTTGAACGATTTTTTTAGTTATTTTCAGCTGTAGCCATCGTATCACGTGCGCGAGGGTGGCTACCCGTGATTTTCACCATGCGCTGGCGACGCAACCATGCATTTAGAAAAAAAATCGCATCACCATTTCCAGTAAACTGAAGTCTATTTGAACTATTGGGCAATGTCTTTTACGAATACTGCTTATTTAGTCTAGTTTCTGGCGATGTCAGCAGCTGAATTCAGTCATTTTTAGGCCTGTTTTAGCCACTGAACTTGGTTTCTGCATCGGAGGAAAATAGTCGCTGCTGATGTAGTCCAGTTTCTGTAGATTTTCACGGATTTTACCGCGTGCAGAATTTCTGCATCCGTAGCTGAATTAAGTAATTTTCACGGATTTTACCGCGTGCAGAATTTCTGCATGGTAGCTGAATTCAGTACATTTTAGGCCTATTTTAACGACTGAACATGATGCAGAATTTCTGCATCGGGGGAAAATAGTCGCTGCTGATGTAGTCCAGTTTCTGTAGATTTTTACGGATTTTACCGCGTGCAGAATTTCTGCATGGTAGCTGAATTCAGTACATTTTAGGCCTATTTTAACGACTGAACATGATGCAGAATTTCTGCATCGGGGGAAAATAGTCGCTGCTGATGTAGTCCAGTTTCTGTAGATTTTTACGGATTTTACCGCGTGCAGAATTTCTGCATGGTAGCTGAATTCAGTACATTTTAGGCCTATTTTAACGACTGAACATGATGCGGAATTTCTGCATCGGGAGAAAATAGTCGCTGCTGATGTAGTACAGTTTCTGTAGATTTTCACGGATTTTACCGCGTGCAGAATTTCTGCATGGTAGCTGAATTCAGTACATTTTAGGCCTATTTTAACCACTGCACAGGATACAGAATTTCTGCATCGGGGGAAAATAGTCGCTGCCGATGTAGTTCAGTTTTAGCAGATTTTCATTCTGCATGCGGTGAGATCAAGTTTTCTTAGGGTCAGCATATTCAGAAGTTTTACTGGCATGTTTAACTGACTGCCAAATTGTGACGGTCAAATAAAGGCTTTCTTTACTGAACCGGTTTCGTTGTTGTTAGGAATGATAAGATTTTCAATGAACAGCGTATAGGCTCCGAGGAATATTCACTTTCTCAACGGAAAATACTGGTTTTGGAAAAACCCATTTTAGTTTGGAACGCGTTTTAGCGATAAGGTATAGAAACTCTTCCGGTCAACTAACCCAAACATGTCCAGCTGTAAGGACGCATTATCCGTCTGGACGAACTTAAGCAAACATTTTTTAGTTCGTCTTGTTATGCGTCTCTACTATAAAGAGGGGCACAAGACGCTCTATGTGTCGTTGCATGTTCCGATTTAGCCGTAAGTCACGGAAATGAAGCTGAAGTAACTCGAACAAGCAAAGAGAACTGAAAGAAATACTGCGTTTTCTCTTCTGTTGGCGGTCTCAGGGAAGATTTCCTTTAAATATGTTTTAAAAGATCTATTAACTTGTGTTTCAAGTGTTTAGATCAAAAGACAGGATTGGGAAACATTTCGTTAAGGTGGTTCAACATTAATTTGAGATCACAAACCTGGTAGGACGCTCATGTTAGGCATCAGGATTCTTTCCCACCATGAAATGCCTCTTGTGCTCTCTGATATAGTTAGCTCATCCACTACTAACATTAGATCAACGTCACTGCACTGCTTATTGTCTGTTCCTTCGTAATAGCTTCCAGTACCCAATATACTTAGACACGCGAAGTATAGAGGGTGTTTGTTCTTTATAACGTTTAGAATTGATTCCACCGTTGGCCCCCAGAAGTATTCTTGGATTAAAAAGTTCGCGGGCATACTCGTCGCTATCTCAAGGTTTTTGCCTCAAGCCAACATAAAAAGTGTTTCCTCCACTGTTATCGAAACAAGAGGCAGCTACGTCGACCGCGAACTAAAAGATTTGATTTTGGCGCAAATAAATTCGCCAACGATCTCAGAATTCTGAAGCCGCTCCCTTATTGGCTTAACCAGTTAAACAGACGTATTTCCGGTCGAATAAACCGAATGTTCTCGCAGGCTAGTGAAGCGCACGTAGCAGATCGTTTTTGGTCCCGCGTCATGGCCAGAATTAGTCGCATGAAAGATAGGGTCGAATTAGAGTTAAGTTTATTCTTTTGTAGTGGGTTGATTCGTGGCATAACTGAGCTTGTAAGTTTGACATTGACCAGTATTATATTTAGCTTGCCTGCAGCCGGTCACAATTCAAGGAAGAATGTAGGATAAGACGTTATCAACATGGATTAAAAATTTACACTCCCGTGTGTTTAAGATGAGTGACACGATTCTACAGTTCGGCTCTTGAAATCTAAATGAATTTTGGAATTGTTTTTAAAATTTTCTTTTGAAGAACTAATAGCCTTTTAGTAACTCCACTGTATATGCTATGCGCTCTTCTCACTTATGGTAATATGCCCGTCTAACCTCGTTTACGGGTAAAAATTCTTTTGAAATTCAAATACGAAAACGTCGTCTGATTAGCATTTCAAAGGACTTTTTACTCAAAAACGAGGTTAGACGGGCATATTACCATACGTGAGAAGAGCGTATTGCAATGCCTTCTCACGTGCGGTGGGAATTGTCGCGGTGTCGGCCCAGGCGGTGTTGGACACGGTCCACGTGACCAATTTTGTCCAATCACATCATTGCAGATGGCGGACTGATTCTTTCACCTTTGCGCTGGTAGTCTCTTCGATTTTCTTCGATTTTCGCCGTTTATCAAGTGATTTACGATGATTTTTTTTGGAAAAGTTTGAGTAGACAGATGTAGCAAGCCGCAGTTCTTAAAACAATATGATGTATGTTTGTTTTCTATTGATATTGTTCGTTGTAATTCTTCATGCGCATAATCCCTTTGTTTAGTTAAGAGCTATTGTTTATGCTTTTCAGTCTACATCTTCTCTGTGTTCAACGACCCCTGACCTCCATTTTTAGCATAATCTATTAGTTTTGTTGTTCAAGAATCTGAAATGGTCGGCGGGCCCCAGCGGGCCCCGCCGTTTTACGGGTCAAAATGCCACTTGAAGTATACCAACGTGCGTGAATCGTGACTCCATTCCGCGGCATCTTTAGTATTATAAATATACTCGCGCGGTCACGATCGAACCAGCTTAGAATACTTTCACTACACGATCAGCTCAGAATACTTTCTTTCATTTCCTTTTTATTCGTCTTTAAAAATATGATATTTTTTTGTAATATGTATGTCATCGTATCGGCCCTTAGGCCATCCGTTTTGAATAGTTCCTTGGCTTCTTCCTTCTGCCCTTGTCCGCAAAGAGTTAACCTTCTGTGCGAGATTCTTCATGATTCCTAATAAATCATACAAAACATAACGAACAGATAAAACTGAATTCATACGGAAAAAAATGACTAGAAAACCTCCGCTAACTTGCTGTTGTCCTCAACAACAACAAGTTAGAGGAGGAGGATTCCACATTTGCCTTGGCCTCCAGCTTCTTCTGGAAAACAGGTTGCATATTATTTTCGATGGGAAGATCAGTATCCTTCATGCACATGTCAATGTACCTGGAAAAAAAATCTGAGAAGAGCACTAAAGAGAAGCTTACGTTCAAAATCAAGCACTTTAGGCACATGTAAGAACGATGTGTTGATACGTACCGCGTTGCTTCGATCCCAAAATTATCTCTTCGACACAGAAAATAACAGTTTTGTGAAGCCAGCAGTAAACGTCGATTCTTTCCAGAGAAAGATCTAAAATGAACATCGCATGTTATGTCCTTTAAAAGCGGAAGAAGACCTGTAATGCCCATATCACACTATTTCTCCCGGTATTTTTATGGCGTAACGAGAGATGTGAACAAAGCGAAGGTCAGATGCAAATGAGCCGTTTTTGATTTTTTCCCCATGATGCCCTTCGGACCGTGTCCAACACCGCCTGGTGTCGGCCGAAGGCCGACCCACTATTATAAAAGACAAAACAGAAAGCGGAAACTGCGCTAGAAAAGTATCTGGCACCCACGTAATTTAAGCCCGCAGGAGTCAGTTTTGTCTCGAAATTTAGCGAATTTCAGTCACTTGGAAATGGCCACCAATTTCAGTGAAATTTCGAAATGTGTAGAAACATTAATTATGATGCACAGTAACTTGAGCAATAAGTCCAGTTCCAGGAAAGATGCTGTCGTGCCGGGTCAATGCTTTGTCAAGTGTTCGACACTACTCTTAAATAAAAATGAAATCCGACAAATTATCAATTCTGGAACCAGTGAGTGTAATTTAAACACCTTGCCAGGCTGTCGAACATCCAGACATTGCCTTACATTTAATATCTGCCCCCCTCCTCTTCCCCATTAAATAAAATAATAATAATAATAAAACACTTGGGCAATCTTGTGGGAACGGAGCGGAGCTGCGTCGGTACATTCAGTGTCTTGAAAACATTTTTTCTGAAGGAAAAGGTAAAGAAAAGCAACGTGTTGGCCCTTTAATCTTTTGTGGTTTGGTGGTAAAAGTCATACGTTCCTGTATTTAGTCCTCAATTGTAAAGACAAGCACAGAATGACCTACTGTTTAGAGAATAAGCTAACATTCAGCAGTCAATTAGAATATGGAAAAGGAGGTGTAAAAATAGGATGAACTGAGTAAAAGGAAAACCTTAACTTAGTATTCATGTTATAAAAGTTTTAACTTTTATAACTGCATCCGCCAGTCCATTATGTTGCATTTAAACTGTCTGAAACTTTTACATGTATGGCTGCATGAAATGTAGGTAAATACTTTTTGAAAAAAAGAAACGTTTTATGCTCATAAAGTCGATAAAGGACAATTTCACGGAAGAAAGAGCTAGGTCTGAATGTATGTTGACCTTAAGTATTTTTGACAGCGTTAAAAAGGGCTTTGCGGCTACCAGTAGTGAGACATTGCCATAGGCAATAATCACCTTAGTTGGAAAAGTTTCACTGTGCATGTTAAAGCATGCACCAGTTGTCTATATGAGAAGGGAGGAAAGGGTGGAAACGCTTGCCCGCAAACCCCACGATTCTGGAAAACGCCCCTTGATATTTCAGATTTGCCAGATTTGAGAAAATTACTTTGTTCCCTAAAACACGTTCCACGCGATTGCAAAACTGTAATAAAAAGAAGTTTTACTATAAAAGAAGGTTGAAACTCTAAGCGATTGCTTCGGAATTTCTTTCTCTTTATAGCTGAGTTAAAATTTTAACGTCATGTGGCTTTATCTCATCTGAAACCTAGTCAAAACGTCGCAAAGAAATGATTTGTCCGGTCCCGAACAATTCGCTCCCTCGGCTATGAGTTTTTTCTCCATAGGCCACCAGTGTCGAAAAGTTCACTACAATACATGCCGCTCAATTTCCAATCACTTGTCCATGGCGGCTCTAGCTAGTGTCTACTACTCGATGTTCTAATTTACGTTGATGTTATCTCCAACAAAGAGTCCATTTTTTCCAGTCAGATACGCACCCCGTCATTCCCAATAAATTGGCCTTCACTAGTCTCCACTGCTCGATCGTATCTCCAATTATACTTTTGATCGAAGGGACTCAGATCTGATAAACCTTCGCACAAACATGATTCAAATAAATATCAGACCAAAGCATTTGTAATCTGCGACCACAAATCAGATCAGACCAGATCCGCGACGCACGTAAACAAAACATATTTGGTTTGATTGATGTGTTGATTGCTATTTAATCAACACTACCAGCACCGCACCAATAAAAAGCTGCGTTCGTGGGCGAACGCATTTTTTGAAAATCGTGGGGTTTGCGGGCAAGCGTTTCCTTCGCTCCCTTCCCCCTCCCCCCTCATGCTTTTTTTTGCTCCCGTCCCAACTTTCTCGACGAACTCGCGCGGAAACGCTTGCTATGCAGGCTATTGGAGAGCATTAGGGACCTACTGGGAGCAGAACGTTTATTGCGGTTGTAGCTAACTACATGTGCTTTGAAGGTTCGAGGGCAACGAGCAATTGACCCGAGAAAATCTGGTTTGGAGCGCGCTTTAGTCTATCTTTCTGTCCTTTCCTTGCAATATCGCAATGATTAAGTACTTGGGGATAATGAGTTTTTTATAACAGTGTTGGATCCACCGGGAAAGGGACCAGGGCAGCCACAGGCCGCCTCAAAAATGGACCTATTGGACGACAGCTCACAGCATGCAAGCATGCCTAAGTTTCGACTCCTTGGACCCTCCATTTTATAAACAAGGAAAAAGATAGCAAAAAACTTTAGCCCACAATACTAACTCTGATTAAAGACATAATGACTAGTTTGAGTGAGCTCCCCAAGTTGTGAGAATTCATTGATCATGAGTTTCGCAGCGCACCGTTTGATATGTAGTCATAGATCTAAAGTAGAAACTCTCGGGAGCTTTGTGGTCACCCCTATCATCACGATCCGATGCATGGGTGGGAGTTTATTTAATTCTAATACATCGACCGAGGGCTTTTTAGAACCTTAACAGACTAAATCTTAATAAGAGGAAATACGGTAGACCAATGCCCTGATTACCAACTTTAGTTAATGATTTTAATAACAGCATCAATAATAATTTTGAAATTACAATTTTTATCTTTGAAATTTTGACGATAATAATGATAAAATAACAATAATTTTTTAATTACAATATTTAAAATAATGACAAGAATATTCTTAAATTATTTATCCTACAGGAAAACACGACTATGAAGCTATATCTAGCTGTTAGGTACGCAGTATAAAATATACGACAAAAGATGGACTGAAATGTGAAAAAATACTATTATACATGTGTATTATCCTACTTTAGGACAGGAATGCTACTTACTGATTTAAATTTAAAGGCCATAATAAACTTATGAGTAACTGGATGCCTAAGAAAAATTTCAACTGTCGCACTTTGGCAGCCATCTCAGAACATTTTTCTGGTGAAACCATCTCCAATAAATTGACGCCTTCAATGAAATAATGGGGGCAGTTTGCCTGCCTCAAGTGGCATTCCAGCTTGTAGAGAAAGCCAATGAATCTGAAACTCAGACATTCAGAGCTCCAATCATTTGGATTAGGGTGGGCCTCATACTCATACAACATAATGGTTTTCAAGTGATACGATGTTAATTTAACCCACTTCATATGATCTCTGAACGCCTTCATTAAACGCAAAACTTGCTTGCGGCAACCAATTTCTTCCCCGTGGGCCCCATGAAGTAACAGCTTTTTCTCAGCTCCCGAGAAGGAAAGACGCCAGAACACCTTCTTTTCCTGCTCTGGAATATCTATTCCTTTTGGTTGCTTTGCAACGAGGTAACAGCCCTCTTCCCAAATTTCCTGAACAAGCAGCTGATTAGGCCAACCTAAATTATGGTAGATAGATAAAAAATCATGAATAATGAATAATTTTAATTTTAACATATGCCCTGCTAACGTCATCCTTCTTAGAAGGCTTGTATCTGCAAATGAGTATTATGTGTAAGCTACAGCGTGTAGTGTAGTTTTTTTATGCCGGAATTCAACTTAATGTCCCTAATGAAATTATTTACTTTTTGCGAATAACTTCTTACTGCCGAACAACAGAAAACTGAGCAAGTTACCATTTCTGGACCTTCTGATCCATTCCTCGGCTTGTCTAGGCCAGTCGACGCATTTGATGGCCAAGGTCAAGTCTACAGAATACTCTCTCTGGTTAAATATGTTGGTAATTTTCAGCGCCACTGCAGGTCCATTAGACTTTACATCAACATATCTGAATATGAGACTAATAATAAGAAGCAATGAGATAATTTATCTGAGGGGATCCAAACGTTATGCTAGCATCAGTTTAAGGGGGGATTAGTCTAGATAAAATAGATTGTAACGGAAATTAAATTCTCTCTATATCTGTCCCCGGCTTTTAATCTTTGTTTATAGAAATATTTCTGACATAAGAAGATGGTTTTTGAAAAAGTTTATGTACGGTAACTTTCAGCTCACAACTGCATAACCTTTAATTGTGCTTTTCATTCACCAAACATATATTTCGAGTGATGAATTAACCTCACCGGTGTAACAAACCGTCTGCAACAACAATTAATTTATCCGGTGGTGTTGCAGGTTATCATGGGTGACGAATTACTCCTTAATTTTGGCGCGAAATGTCAGCGTTTATACTACCATATGAGAAATTTCTGCAATTTGATTGGCTTAGAGCAGTGGTATTTCAACTTAATTTGAAATACCTACATGTGAAAATTACAAACTTCTTGCGGGTAGTAGTATAAACAAATAATAGCATGATTTGTATGTGATATTAGGCATAAATACCACTCTTGATATTTCAAAATTGTCTCAAATTTCACTCGCCTAACGGCTCGTGAAATTACGTCTAACAATTTTGAAATATCACTCGTGGTATTTACGCCAAATATCACTACGAATCATGCTATTACCTATACTAATTTATAATTTCACATGTGAAATTACAAAATTGCCATGGCAATGTTCCATACGTTATATTACAGTGCCAAGATGGCGGTAAAGTTTTAAAATGTTATGAATGAAGGTGCCAAGGCATTTAAAGGACGCTTCAGAGAAACCTACACACGAAAGAACACATCAAGAAGGATTCTAACAGGTTATATAATATTTTGTTGAAATATTCTGAAAATTATGAACTTAAGCCAAAATTTAAGCTGTAAAGTTTTAGGTGGCGGAGTTCTCAATCGATAATCAATTTGAGAAACATAACAAAAACCAACGATTGAGAGCGTATAAATTCGTCGCCCATAATATTAATAGGTGATCAAATGGTATAATCGTGAAATTAGGGAATAATTCACCTGCGTTTTATCCAAATTCTAATAATTTCCCTCGCTTTTGGATTATTAAGATTTGGACAAAACGCGCGTGAAATTATTCCCTAATTTCACTCGTCACCATTTGATTTAGCCTGAGAAAACAGGTGACATTTGGCGACGCTACCACTGGTTTCATCGCCAAATGTCGGCTGTTTTCCCAGGCTACATTTGGTTACACATACATATTTAGCAGTTATAAAATTAAGGGGTTAATTTAGTAAAACTTTTCATGACAAGTGTAATTTACAAGTGTAGCCATTGTTCTAGAGTCTAAATACAATAGCTACAATTTAAACATTACACTTGTAAAAGTTTTTATTAACTTGGCCCCAGGTTCGCTTCCGACTCGACTGAAGCAACCAAAGCTTTCTTGCTTGACATTTAATTGGTCATTTAACCCTATTCAGCCCAAGGGGAACTTTTCGTGCCTCCTCTCGCGAAAAAGTTGAATAACTTCAAAATCGTTTAAGCTGGCAACCAAACTTACCGACTTTCCTAAAAATTATCTGGGAGAATTTTAAAGTCATCGTGACGTGTACGTAAACATTGAAGGTACCATGGCAACGGAGTGCTGACAGCCATGTTTTTTACAATTTGCATTTTTCCGATGAGACAAAAAAAGTTTGTTTTCTATTTTTATTTATTGTATTTTTTTTACTCTTAATCAGAAGCATATGACAGTATTGTTTCGGAATTTTCATATTAACTTGCAGATCTTTTGGCTTCCTGAGCATCTTACACAAATTTTTCTGTCACTATTACCTTGAGTAATCATTTCGATTCTGAAGAGCTCTTATGGCATCTTTGACTAGCCTTGCGAATGCTGCTTTGACCTTGTAGGCATTTAACCTTCCCTTAGCATCAACACAACCGTCTCGCTGCCATTCCGTTTTCTTACCAACATAAACTTGTGTAAATCCTAAAGACCAAATAAGAAATATTTCAAAGCTATGATGTTACTGTTCAATGACAAAGCCGTAATTTAATTTACGACTATATTAATGGAGCCTGTTTACAAGGAGACTAAATATTAAACGCACACTGAACGCAGTCAAGACAACGGTTTCTCTTAAAGCTCCTAATATATAGATTTAGCCAGGGCTAAAAGCGAAGCTCTCGATAATATTTATAGTTTGTTCAAACAAAATATAAAATCATGTAATGCTAAGCGGCGAAGGCAACGCCGGAGAACGGTGAAAAACAACAATAGGTCTAATTAGCAAAAAAGCAACTTTGCACGTGCAGCACACTTTTTTGTACATTTCTTTGCCGTTGTTTTGCACGACTACAACGTGAAACTTCCAGAAACTTCTTAGTTACACGTTTTTTTCGTTCACTTTTTTTTCACTGCCGCTCATTTTCACCTTGCATTGGTGGCCGCTAGCATTTCTCATTTTGTAACCACGGTGACCGGAAGTATTTTCTCCCCCTCAAGGGGAACGCCTGAAGTTCAAGGTGCTTTAATCAAAGAATCAAGAATAATCGCGACGTTTCCACCGCTATAGCCGTCGTTTTAAACTCCCTGACTTGAGGCATTGACAGGTAGCGAAAAAAAATTACTTCCGTCACCGAACTATAGAACCTTCCGTAGTCTTAACAGGGAGTAGGGAGTTTAAGATACGGCGACTACTAGCTAAGGACTACGACTACGGTTAAACATGCTACTGCGCAAGATCAAAACCACGTGACTGTTCATTCTTCTCGCGTAGTCCTGCGGCTACGGTGAGTTGCTGAGCTGCTTCGAGTAGTCGCAACTACGGAGAACATTTTGTTCGTATTTTGCCGTCTCGGTAATTCAAGAATCTCGTCTTCTCGTAAAAAAGTTTTCAGTTCACCTGATTTAAGTGAGAGGAAGGCGAAATATGTAAGTTGTGTCTAATTTCTGCTCAGATTTTTTTCTTATTATTTTATTTATTTATTTTATTTATTTCTTTTTATATTTATATTTTTTATTTTATTTTTTTTAATTTTTATTGTTTTAACAAACATAATGCTAACTTACTTACATAGTACTTACTAAGTTACATAAAGCTTTAATACCTACTTACATATAACTTGCTAAGTTAAATACTACTTACTTACATAATATTAACTTACAAGATAATGCTTACAAAACAGGAGCCGATGAGTTGGAGCCTGTTACAAAATAATGAAAAAAAGAATTCTGATACAACTAATTACTAACTTACTATCTATTAACGAAGAGTAAATACGCTAAAAACGACAAAAAATAAATAAATAAATAAATAACAAACAAAACAAAAACAAAAAAGCCAAAAAACAAGGGAAATTAGCCAGAATCAAGAAAATTATTTTTACAGCTTGACTTGCACCTTAGCTTTGCTAGTTTCAATATGTATTTTATTTTTAAGGATAGACAAAAAAGCATCGAAAAAATAATCTTCCTCATTTTCAGACGCGGTGTAAATATAGTATTTTGCAATTATCAAGCAGAGGTTTAAACCAAGACACTGAGGCACGGTGTCTGTAATGCCATAAAGTGTTTGTGCTTCAGAAAGCGAGATCTCAATGTTATTTTCGCGCCACCAAACTGAAAAATGTGTCCAAAACAGCTGAGCATTGGGGCAAGTCACAAATAGGTGTGTGATTGTTTGCTTTTCAGCGCATAAATGACAGCGGTCATGTTCTTTAATTCCGAATTTATATAGTGTAGCGTTGGTGGGTAAGATGTGGTGTAAGATCTTGAACTGAAACATTGAGAGTTGTATGTCTTTCGTAGCACTGAAAGGCATCTTGTAAATTTGAGAAATTTACTGTTCATTTAAACTAGCTTTTCTGAGTCTTTTTTTGGCGGTGGCAGGAACAAATTTCCTTTCAACAAAAAAGTGGGTAGCAAGTTTAGAAGAAAGCTTCTCAACGGGAATTCTATCCGTACTTAAGGACTTATTCGAAGGCGGTTGTAATTTACCTTTCATTATTTTAATCCAGTTAGGAGGAATTGCTTTGCATAAACCGTAGTAGGTAAGAAAAGTAGTTTTAAGACCAAAATAAGAGCAGAAGTCTTGGTGAGATAGAAAGGTATTGCCGTTGAAGAGATCTCCAATTTTTTCAACACCCGCTACATGCCATGCTTTATAGTATACTGAATAATCGTTGATCCTAATAAAGCGGTTGTTCCATAAGATTTCATTCAGTATTTCTTCTTTTGAGGAGGGAGTGAACGAATTTATAGATTGCCAGGCCAACAAGGCTTTCTCATAAAAGATCAATGGAATGTGTATGTTAAGATGTTTAAGTTCAAAGTTACATTTAAGGAGAAAGAGACCACCAACACGCTCTAGCAGGGAAACAGGAATGTGAGTCCAACTCGCAGTGGGATGACAGCTGTCTAGTCTTCTGATCCAAGTTGCTTTGAGAGCATTGTTGATTATGTCAAAATCAGGCAATGTGAGACCACCTTTTTCTTTAGGGTCAATCAGGGTAGTTTGTTTTATTTTTGGTTTTTTCTTTTGCCAGACGAATTGAGTAATAGCTTTATTAACTTTTTGAATAAATGTGGAGGTGACAGTGAGGACAGCAGTGTTATAAATAAGTTTGGAGAGGGCTAATGCTTTTAAAATGACAATTCGACCATGTAAAGTTAAGTTCCTAGGGTACCATAACTTTAGAAAGGAAGCCATCGAGGACAGTTTCTGTTCAAAGTTCCTTTTGAAAGCAGCTTTGTCATCATAAGAGAAGTGAATACCAAGTGCAAATACAGGATCTTTTGGCCATGCAATATCAAGAGGTTCTTCCGGGTTGTTTTTGTTCGCGCCTAGGCACAAGCCCTCTGTCTTGCTTCTGTTTACTTCAAGACCAGAGCATTTTTGAAAAGCGTGGAGCAGATGGAAGAGATTTTGGGCAGATCTTGTATCAGAAACAAAAACAGTGGTATCATCTGCGTATTGTGAAATTTTGAATTCCTTTCCATATATGTTGATTCCTTGAATATTTGCATTAGACCTTATTGCAGTAGCAAGAATTTCAGCGCACAACACAAATAGGGAGCCGGAAAGTGGGCACCCTTGGCGAACACCTCTTTGTAGTTTAAAGAAGACAGAGGCGTAACCATTATTTACTACACAGCTAGAACAGTCAGTGTAAAAGGTTCGGATCCACTGTAGTAACTGAGGGCCGAAATTTAATGCCTCCAAGGTCTTAAAAAGGAGGTTCCAGTCGACGGTGTCAAAAGCTTTTTTAAAAACCACAAAAATCGCCATGCCGGGAATGTTTTCTAGCTCAGTTATCTTCATGATATCGTTAATGAGTCTAATGTTCTGTCCTATATAGCGGCCCTTGACATAGCCAGTTTGGTCTTCGTTTATTAATTTGGGGAGGACTTATGCGATTCTATGGGCTATAGATTTGGTTGCTATTTTATAATCGACGCTATGTAACGTTAGCGGTCTCCAATGTTCCAAATACAACCTGTTCTTGCGTTTTTTCGGTATGACCTTTATTATACCTTGTCTTTGTGTTATGTTGAGTTGTTCTACTTTATGAGCATAGTTAAAGCTTTGGACCATCTCATCACCAAGTAGATGCCAGAAGTGCAAATAGAACTCAACTGAGAGACCGTCGCTGCCCGGACATTTGTTTTTAGCACACTGTTTAAGAACGTTGAAACATTCGATTTTCGACAAAGGCTGTTCAAGTTCATTTAGCTCGTTTTCGTCGAGTTTGACGAGGTTAGGGTCTCCCAGGAAAGCATCGCGTGCAATAATATCACAGGGAGCGCTCGTATATAAATTTTCATAAAATGCTCTCTGCATTTCCAAAATCTCTTTTTCGCAAGAAGTTTCCGAGCCAGTACTTGTTTTAAGCCTAGTTATATGAGTTTTTGCAAACCTCCTTTTCTCAAGATTTAAGAAGTATTTAGTATTCTTTTCTCCTTTTTCGTGCCAGCTTATCCTACTTCTAATCATTGCACCCTCGGTTTTATATTCAGCAATCTGATTGAGTTGAGCTCTTAATTGGTAGAGTTTAGTGATATTTTCTTTCGATCTGTTGGATTGCAGCAAGGCCATTAGGTGATCAATTTCTTTCTGAAGGTCTCGTTCCTTATTTCTTTTTATTCTGTTTTTCATTTTTGAGCATTGTACACAGAAACCTCTAATCTCCATCTTGAGCATGTCCCAGTACAGGCCTTCATTAGTAAGGTAACAGTGTTTGCTTTTGTATTCGGGTATTTTGCTTACGAGCTCGTCAATGAAATTTGCATCTTTCAGCAAAGCGTTATTAATTTTCCAAAACGCAGGTCCACGTTTAGCGTATTCTTTCGATTGAAGAGTGAAAGTGATAGCGCTCTGATCAGATATTGTGGGGTTGGTGATATTAGTATCAATGACAGACATCAACAATTCTTTCGACACAAGCCAATAATGTAAGCTGCATTGCACTTTCAAGGAATTGTTACGCCATGTAAATTGTGTTTTGTTGGTATGTTGATTTCTCCAAATGTCATGAAGTTTAAAACGCCGGGTTAAGCCTTCAATCTCGTCAATGACTTTTTGTTTTTTCTGAACAGTAGCACCACCCATTTTATCTGTAGGTGTTAATGGGCAATTCATGTCACCTCCCAAGATGATTTGTGCATCTGCAAATGGTATAGGAGAATGTTATCAAGATTGCGAAAGAAAGCTATCTGGGCGGTAGAGTCATTTGGCGCGTAAATGTTGCTAAACAAGAAGGAAGATTCTAGCACGTTGGCTTTTAATAGAAAGTATATATCGTCCATTCTTATCAGCGAAGATGCTTTCTGTTTCGAAATCCAGACTCGGTTTAAATAATATCATCACACCTTTTGAATGTGTTGTTCCATGACTGTAATAAATTTTCCCTCCCCATTCTGCTTTCCATATTTCTTCAACACTTTTGGAAGAGTAAGTTTCTTGTAAATAAACAACGTCGAATTTTTGATTGTGGAGCCATCTAAACACCCGCCGTCTCTTTCTAGCTTGATTTAAACCTCTTACGTTTAAAGAACAAAAGGAGAGTCTAAACGGGGCAGCCGTGAATTAGCAGCATAGAATATTCTATCGGTTTCGTTGAGGAAGATATTAAAAAACGTTTCGAATGTGAGCAATTTTGATTTGAAGGTGTACTTAATGTAAATTAAATAATATACATTAGTAATCAGCCTTATCGCAAACTGAAGGAGTACAAGACTAAGCTGTAGGGAGATAAATCTAAGTATATCAAAATAGATTCTAAACATGTAAATAGAAACGGTTATACAGAAACGCTAAGACACAAAACACACAGTTACTAGAGCACAAATTGCTCAAAGTAGGGAAACCTCTTCTTACACCTAAACGGGTTCCCTATGAACAGTTTAATGCTAAATAAGTAGGCGCTATGAGCGAAGCAACTCTTGAGAGCGCGAAAGGAATCAATTATTTACAGCAACTGACTAATCATGTACCATAACTTTACCGTACAGAGGAAGATCTTTAGTTTCTTTTCCACGATAAACTTGCCCTTCAATAATAAGTTTGTCGACATTAAAGAAAGCTTTTTTCTTCTGGGCTTTAGCATCTTTCAAGATTGGGTAAAGTTTCTTGTGCATATCGGCGATTTCTTTGGGAAGTCACTGGCAACACCGATCTTTGAGCCTTTTGGTAAGCTTCTAGCGTATGAAAAAATTTGCTCCTAGTCTTGATAGAAGCTGGCTTTGGCGATTATTGGGCGCGGACTCTTAGATTTGTTGGTCTGATTAACAGCTCGGGTGTTAGAAATTCGATGAACTCTTTCGAAGCTCATATTGTTTACGTCTTGTTCAGGTATTTGAAGCTGTTGTATCAGGACGTTTCTCAACACTTGCTCGTTCTGCTGGAGTTTCATGTGAAGAATCTCTGACGCCGTAAATTCTGAAGTTGCTTCTTCTTGACTGAGCTTCAAGACGTATGTTGCGACATACTAATTTGTCGACTTCAGCCTTCAACTGATCATTTTCTTTGCAGCAGTCACCTTTTCAGTCGCCGCGGCAGCATTTTTAATTTCTTGAATTTCCTTAGTTGCAGAATTCAAACTTTCCATTAGTTGCTTTTTTTCCTCTGTGAGTTTAGCAATTACTGATTTTAGGTCATCAACAGCTGGTTTGAGAAGAAGTAAGCTTTCTAACTTATTCCTGATATCGTCGAGGGCTTTCACTGTTTCAGCGTGGCGTCACACTCGTGGTCGGGAAGCTCCTCGAGGTCGTCGTCGGTTTGAGAGCCTTTTTCCCTTATTCTTTTTGCCCTTCTTCTAGAGGAAACGTCATTCTTCCCAAGCGAGTCAGTTTTGGCTGCCATTCGATAAAAATTAAGTGCGCTCCATGGTTATAAGCGGAGTTTACATCGAAAACGACGGAGCGATAAAAGAAACGACCATCTTTGACAGCGCCTAATTAGCATCTCCTTCTGCGCAGATTTACGCTTTTAATCCACTCGAACCACTTAATGTTGTAACTATATCTAAAACTAAGCTCATATTTAAAAATTTACGCAGAATTCAGATTGACGGCCGAGGAGAAGAGAAATCATGCAGGTAATTTACTTTCTCTTCGCACTTGAAAAGTTTCAATGTTTCTTCGAACTGATTAGTGTGTCTTTCTATTTGAATGTGTAACCTTTGTTTATGCGAGTTTTTGTATCGCATTTGCTGAATGAAAATGATTTAAACTTCTTCAAGATCATCGAAACTCGGCATTTCAATACTTCAAACTACATGAGATCAGTAGTCGGAGAAGTCCATCTTCTAATTCTAATAAATGAGCTATTACTATTTGTGTCTATTTCTTTAATAGTTGACATAAGTATTCATCAGGGGGGACGACTCCAATAGCCCCTAGTACTTGTTTCGTGTACCCATGATCCACCGATTTATGACATCACATCCGGTTGCAAAGTTGCTGCTCTGTTTTGGCGCGAAGCACAAAGATGGACGCCCGATGCTATTTGGTTTTTTTCTAAGATTTGGTTCACTCTTGGGCTGTTTGCAAATTATTTTTCTCTAAAATCAGGTAGCCTTTCCCTCAAAAGTCACATAAATGTGCTCTAAAGTTAACTGAATTGTGGAATTCGAATACAAGTTTATTGTTTAATTTAAATTATAAATTTATTAATGGGAGCCTCGCTTTTAGCCCTGGCTAAATCTATATATTAAATATCATGCAGCTGCGTGGAATGTCATGGCGAGTCTTGCGATGTTTCAAAACGAGTGTCGTTAACGTTTCTCGGCTGTTGCGATTCGTGCGAAATACGGTTTTCGCGTGCAATTTAACGTGGAATTCCCTCGTCAGGTAATGAATTTTCCTATAAAATTTCTTGCTTGCCTGCCTCTCCTAGGACTTTCGAACGTCTAAACAATGGTATAATTGCCCATTTTTAACGGATTTTTACCCTGAAAAGATCACCTAGAATTTTCGGGAGCCTTTTTTCTGGCTGAAATTTTCAAAAAGGTAAGTTTTGATTCCTAAAATTTTCGGATCACTAAACTTTCAGCTAAGAAATCCGAACAGATGAAAAATTTTTAGGGGATAAAAATATGCCTATATCTACCGTTTAAATACTAAAATACGTTTAACAATGCTATATTTAAGTGGTTTTGAACTATATTCTCGTTGGATACCCCTGAATAAATTCGGCCCGGATGGCGCTGAAGCCGAAAACTAATACACAAATGTTTGCAGCGCGTAAGGGGGTTATTTGAAATTAGAGAAAGTCCGTGAAATCAAGTTTTCGAAAAGATACTGTGTCTTCGGGTGGCTCTTGTAGCTTCTCAATGCCGCAAAATCAACAGAAAAAGCAGATACCAAGGTACGATGTTCGCTTTACGAATAAAAATCATCCATTTATGTGGCTTGTTTGCAAAACACGCGCAAAAATTATATTGTCTGATCCAGAGACATCGCTTACGACCCTGCGTCTCTTGCCTTTGAGGCGATCGAGACGATCATATGTAAACTACCAATCGCCCCAGTCGTCCGGATCGTCTCGAAATATTTTGAAATGACTAGGGCGATCGGGACGATCCGGGCGATCATATGGAAACCAGGCTTTAAACAAATTCAGGCCAATTTTGGGGAGGAATTGGTTTTGTTTAATTGAAACTATATTTTTGTATATTAAATGTAAAGAACGCTCAATTGATTGTAAAGCGCATTAATGTTTGTCTTATCCATTCTACAGCTGTCCAGGAACGTTATTGAATTGCAAACACTGTCATAAAAATGTTAATGAATAGCGTTTGCACTTAAATGTTTGTCTATTGTCCCTAATGATTTTCAAGTTAATGTGAATGACTCGAATGTTGGCGCACAGGCGGCCCAGACTTAGTATGTGTCACTGAATGAATATATTAATATTCACATGGACAAATTAATGCGATGAGTCGTCGAAACTCCCATGGACTAAAATAGTCCAAAAGTCAAAATATAACAAAACAAAGCTAAGATACCTTTAACTGAACGTATCCTTGTCTTTCCTGGCCGGTTTAAGTGACATTTTGTTGAGTTTTGCAATTGTAGGTACTATCCACTAAAGAAGGATTAAAGGCTGGCTACAAAACAAACAGACCATCTCCACGCGCCTTCACACGAAGCGCTATAAATTCGAGAATAATCGACGAATCCGCTCCAAATAACCATCGGCTAATCTGCAGGTAACGTGTGATCCTGCTTCTGGCTCGCTTGCTCCACAAAACCCATCGCAACTACACAATAATTGCTCGCTCATCAACAACCACTGTTGACCTTTACGCTTCGGTATGACCGCAAACGACCAGGTTTAATACGCGACGTGAATATTCAAGCTTAGCGACCGCGTTTGCGCAACAATGCAGCACTTGCTATGGGAGGGATGGTACTATTGCTTCTAGGTCAATCGACTGACCGAAGGTTTGCTGCGTTAGTTTTGACCAGAAAACAAAAGGTGATCGCGGGACCGTCCGTAAGTTTTCAACAGGGCATCCCTGGTTTTCAAGTTCGAATTCTTCTAACTTTCGCTGTCTCAGCTGCTGTCACATTGTTCGCCCAGCCGCTTGCATAGGTTCGATCTTGACTCTACCAGACTTATTTGCTTTGATTAACAACGTCTTACTCCATAATATGTTGTCCAAACTGGTGAAGGAGGACGAGAATTTTCCGCCCAGGAAAAAGGCAAAATCTGGCCCCCGCTATGCAGCTGAATAGAAGATACAGCTGAAGATATCGTAAAGTAAAATTTATAAGCGCGATATCTTTTATTGTTATTATTATTATTCTCAAATCTCAGGGGCACCCAAAGATGATTTTCCCCTAAATGCATTGAAAACACATTTAACGCTGTCCAGAGTACTTTTGATCGAAAAATGCATTCTAAACAGCGCTTACATAAATTTAGGTCAGGAGGGCTAAAAGCGAAGCTAATGATTTATAGTTTGCTCATACTAGAAATATAAAATATATCGTGTAATGCTAAGCGGAGAAGGCAACGAGACAGGGCCAGCCAACGACTGTTTCCTCAAATACTTTCAATTGAAAACACTTTTGTAGCTATTCATAAAGTACTTTTAGCTCTATATAAAATTTGCATCTCAGTGTTCGGCCATTCTAGGGGAACTTGAGTCTTTTCGAAATTACGAGGAATTCAGAATTATTTTCCCGAAAATTTTAGATGCAATTTAAAGTATTATGAAGGAGATAATTTTTCAGATACCTTCTTTCATCACATTTTTGAATCTGAAAATTTTAGGATTCCATTTTACTCTCTACGAAAAATAGCCTAAGACCCTGTTTACATGGAGTGGGGGACCCCGGTCTAGTGGGGTAAGTTTCTTTTGTTTTGTGTCCTCCAGAGCGTGAAAACAAAAGAAACCAACCCCACTAGACCGGGGTCCCCCACTCCATGTAAACAGGCCCTAACACGGTCAGTGAAATGTGAAAAATTAAAGGTTGGATGCCTTTGACCAGAACTGTGAAAAACAACAATAGGTCTAATTGCAGCACACTTTCTTGTACATTTCCTTGCCGTTGATTTGCATGACTGCAACGTGAAACGTTCAGAAAACGTCCTGGTTTTCACTTTTTATGGAGAAAATGTTGTACATGTTCTTGTTCACTTTTTCCACTGCCGCTCATTTTTTTTAGCTCCGCTATAAGATTCGTATCTGTTCGGTGCTCCTAGTGCAAATTGGATCTTTTTAAAAATTACAAGGGCTTCAATATTATTTTCCCAATTGATTGACCTAGAAGCAATAGTACCATCCCTCCCATAGCAAGTGCTGCATTGTTGCGCGAACGCGGTCGCTAAGCTTGAATATTCACGTCGCGTATTAAACCTGGTCGTTTGCGGTCATACCGAAGCGTAAAGGTCAACAGTGGTTGTTGATGAGCGAGCAATTATTGTGTAGTTGCGATGGGTTTTGTGGAGCAAGCGAGCCAGAAGCAGGATCACACGTTACCTGCAGATTAGCCGATGGTTATTTGGAGCGGATTCGTCGATTATTCTCGAATTTATAGCGCTTCGTGTGAAGGCGCGTGGAGATGGTCTGTTTGTTTTGTAGCCAGCCTTTAATTCTTCTTTAGTGGATAGTACCTACAATTGCAAAACTCAACAAAATGTCACTTAAACCGGCCAGGAAAGACAAGGATACGTTCAGTTAAAGGTATCTTAGCTTTGTTTTGTTATATTTTGACTTTTGGACTATTTTAGTCCATGGGAGTTTCGACGACTCATCGCATTAATTTGTCCATGTGAATATTAATATATTCATTCAGTGACACATACTACGTCTGGGCCGCCTGTGGTTGGCATTAATGAAAGTATATTTTTCTTTTTCGTGTGTCGAACGACGCAAATGAATGCCCAAAAATGTTATTGAATGTTGATTAAAAGGTAAAAATCGTTATTGAATTTGATTTATGCGCAAATGTTCGCTTTTTCGCGCTAATTAATGTATCTTCGCGCTGTTGGTCGCCGTTTCACCCAAATGAATGCGTATTTTATCGTAATGAACAGCAAAAGGTGTACTAATTTACAAAGTAGGGGTAATAAGGAACCTACAATCACGAGGGCGACCGGAAAGAACAAGATAGAAAGGCAATAAAACAATAGGTTTACTAGATTAGCGAAACAACAACTCTACACGTGCATCACGCTTTTTCAGACAAATTTCTTTGCTGTGAGCCCTTGCAACTAGGAAATATTTCACGTCTAGTTTATGGAGGATGTCAACACAAAGAGACAATTTCCGTTGTTCTTTCCCTCAACTTTAATAGATGCCGTCCATTAGAACTCAACTCCAGAAAAACTGCTCTCCTAAATATGCTTACTCAGACGATTCCGGGAATTCAATGGACCCTGATTTTTTAAATTTGAAAGACCGACGCCACTCTACTCTCGCGATATCTTAAATTTTGGATCAACCGGTAAGGATCTGACTTTAAAAAATAGCTTTGTATACAAGGCACAGAAGTGCACTCCTTGAAGTAGACTTTTTCTAGAAGGTAATTGACTGTTCAAGTATATAATATATGCATGCAATGTCATAAAGAGACTTTTTATTGGTTTTGTTTGCCGCGCGGTAAATATGTTTCAGTTATGTCTCAGCCAATTTAGGGCTGTGTAATATATAGCTTTGCAGTGCTTGAATGCCTAGACGTTTTCGATCTCCTTATGGGACTGCGAATTCTTGTTAGACTCACCGTCGTGAGATAAACTTAAAATAGGAATTGGATCGTTTGAGCGGCAAATTACTTTTGAGCGTAACTGAGTTGAACCGTATCAGGCGACTGCTCGCATAAGCCAGTTCAGTTCAATACAAATAACTGAAACATTCCCCTGCTTTTTGTAGGGGTAACATTTTTCTGGTTCAGTTAGAGCAAATTTAGCCATAGAGTTTTCCACCCTTTCTCAAAGAGGCCATTTACAAAATAATTGTTAATAGCATTGATTTTTTTCGCCTGGCTGATAATTACTCGAACAAGAATGCGAGTATCATGATTATATGTTATGTTTCGTCAGTGGTTAGTTATAATATAACAGGTAGGAAACATTCACTTCCCCAACTGGACCCAAAGTTGATAAAGGATAATTTGGCATGTAGTCATGCTTAATCCCAGGAGAGGTTAAAATGTTTTGTAATTACCTACCTAATGGCGGTTCTGTTTCATTGTGATCTGTCATGAAGTTCATGATCGCCGCAGTAGCGTCGCTGATGTTCCCAACCTCAAAGTTGTTTATGACCAACATTACGTCAAACTCGTAAGGCTCCTTATTTACTTGTGCTTTTTCATAATAACTACCTGTACCAATTCTAAGTAGAGAAGAAAATCGATCATCGCTCTTGCACACATAATCAACAATCGCATCCACAATTGGTTTCCAGTAGTTAATGGCCTCGTTTTTCTTTTCTTTACTTAACTGAACACGTTCTTCAAAAACCTTTTTTAAATCGTTGTTTACAATCTGTGGGTTCATTCTCGTTGTATAGCACAAGTAATATTTTGTCTCTGCTTTCTCTCTTCTCTCCTGCAAAACCTGTCTGTCTAGTTATCGACTTCCTGTTGAAAATATTCAACCGTCTCATTTTTGAGATCACGTGGCCATGACGTGCGCGCTTAGCTCAAAATACATTAATGTGTGTGGTGGAACCATGGGCCATAAGAAACATGGGTTTCGACTGAATAAATATTAAATTTTTGCGTAATAAAGTTGAATTTCTCACATTGAAGTAGTCTTTTGTCGTTTTCTAGTCATTTCTGCCGTATATTTCTAGTAGACATGGTAGAGCAGCCTGGAAACACGCTTTGTTTTGATTCAGAAGTTAGTGATTGGCATTAGTCATTAAGTCTTGGTAACCGAGCGTTTTCATCGAATCGGGGCGAATAGAAATGAGCTCGTCCTAGCAGAAAGGTGAGATGCAGTGGACTGGAATCAAATTATGGACCACAGATCAAAGAGACGGGGAATATCAAGGGAGTCTCAGGAAAAGGAGTTATGAGTTTAAAGGGTTTCATTAATCGTTTGTCTCACGATTGTCACATTAATATTGATCGCGACGTTTCGACCGCATACTGCACGTCTTCATCAGTTTTCCAACTCTTCAATAACCGAAGAAAATTCAGAGGACGAACAAAAAACATAGACATAGTTTATTTTACGACGAGGAGCACAGGAATCCCAACTCGTGAATAAAAAAAATCGGCGAAAAAATACAAATTAAAAGAATATGATGTTACAGCAGTTAAACCACTAACAAGCGCCCTAAAAGGGTTTTTTCTTCAGTTCAAGCCTGCCTTTTGGTGGACATCAATCACTGGTTACCATGGTTTTTTACGCGTTGGCCCAGAGAAGATTCTTTCTCCGTTTCTCGAGCACTTGGAAGAATATGTCGGCGTTTAAGCTGTTTTTGCGATATTTTGCTTTAGGATCTGACACCGCTTCATGTCAAGATTACGAGGAGTACGAATTTGTTTGGTGTTTGTCGGAGGAAACTAAAATTATCAACATATTTACACACTAGAAGTTACAACAACATTAGCTTTCTCAATGCACGCTCGCAACTCGTCTGTGTCTTGCGAATTGCTAGTTCGGGATTCTATTCGAAAACACGAAGAATGCAGTAGATCTGCAGAACCTCGATAGAGGATGCAGGATCCTGGTGGAGGTTAAACTTGTGCTAACTCACGTTTATTTTCATTTAAGCGCCATCTTTATCTTCTATCTAGTATATATAATTGTAGTTAATTATTAACCACTGATGTAAATTTTAAATTCAAATTTTAGGAGCCAAAAAATATATTTTCTCTCGGTATAGCTCTGGCCCTGTGGAAGGCTAATTTTCTTAGCCGAAATATTGGCCCATAATAAACCAGCCTTTTGCCGTAGTGCTAGCCCTACATTCAGTTTTGGTTTATTTTACACTCTAAGTGACGTCTAGCTGAGGCAACTCTTTAATCAGAGATCCGAGATCAGTTATATTTACGTGTTGCATGGACCTCTGCATTCAAACAGTTTTATCATATTGCTTCCTAACTGTGATGATATCTCGATGTAAATACTGTAACTAAAAACAGATTTTTAATGCTTTCTCCCCCTTCCACATAATGCCATTTTGAAACTCGCCCCAGTCTTCTCTCAAAAATCGGAGGAAATGCATTTGGTGCGCACTTTCAACAGCTCTACCGCAAAAAAGAGTATATAAGTTTTTTTTTCACGATTTTAAAGCAAATTGAGTCTTCTCCCCCCTCTGAATCCTTCCAAAGTTTTCAGCGATCCCCCCTTTTGGGTTATCAGTTACGACTGATACCCCTGTTTTGTCTTCCCAAAAATCAAATGATCCCCACTAAAATCTTGCGCCCCCCACCCGGGATAAATAATGACCGGTCCCCTATGTTCAGTTTTTTGGCAATTTTACTAAATTGTACGGAATTGAGCTATCACAGGTCCAAATTAAGTCTATTTTTAATTTGGGGCGTAAAATAAGAACAAGGACATTAAAAGCTATTTTTTTGGTTCGTAAGTGGATAAACAATACATTTAAGTCAAACCTGTGCGATACCACATGCATCATCGAAGAAATCTGTCCTTTTTGTCTAGATTTGGGCTGTCCCGGTTTTTGCTAAAGGGTAGTAAATAGTCGTATTTGTCAGCATTGTGACATCAGAACGAGCACGGTGACCCCCACTTTTTATTATTTATTTATCATCTTCTTGACTTGTTACATCAGTGTACAAAGTTTCATCTACAATCTATTTTAGGGTCATTTACCAAGGAATCACCTTAAGGACACTGGAAATTATAATTAAAATCGGCTTCGGGGACTTTGAGAACATCTTCGCTTTTTCATCAAATTATAAACTCGCTCACCAAATGCGAGCACTCTTCTCATCAATATCTGGTTAGGATCGCTGTTTTTCTCAGTAATAATGAGCAGATCTTCCTTTTGTTGTTTGAAATAACGATCTCTCAAGTACGTAAGCCCTCCTGAACTTTACAACGTTAAAAATTTTCTTTAAATTCGCAAACTCAAAGCAGTTTTCTGATATTTGTTTGTCCTCTCCCGGCATGAGCCTCGCATTCATGGTCAAGGCCTACTCGTCCCAGGACCGTCGGGGAATACGAATATTTAACAATTATTCCTCGAGCCCGAATGGGCTCTGAGTCAATAGCCCATGAGGCCGAAGGCCGAATGAGCTATTGACCATGAGGCCAACTAGTTGGTCAAAAATATCGAGACAAAACAACTTTAGCTAGCAAAACACGACTCAGTTGCCATTGGTTTGGTTTTCAAATCCGCGCTTTTTGCTACTAGTGGGATATAACATATAGCCTAGTAGCAGCTCAACCAATCAGAACGCAGCATTGATAATAGACCACTACTTGTATTTTACTAATGTCTATTATCATTTGAACCACAAAAGCAGCAAGTCTATATGCAAAGAATAGTAGTCAAACTCGATCGCTGTCACGCAGGAATGAAATACACAAGGGACACTTCAAAACCAAATCAGTTTGCTTTAATTTAAAAGAAGCTATGTGGTCCTTTACGAATTAAGAAGAAAAGAAGCAAGAAAGAAAAGAAAGAAAAACGTACAGAATCATCACTATTATTAACAATGGAAATGATATGAAGGTCGAAAACGTGCTAGCTCAAAACAGGCTTGTTTATAATCTCACACTGGACGGAAACATGCATGGATTTGTATCAATTTGCTCCTTACAAATATGTTTTGAAAACTGAGTAGTATATCTGGGACAAAGATGGTAAATGCCACATTACCTAGTTATTTACACCCCACTTTTTTGATATGCAAATTTGGCATTTACCATTTTCGCCCCATATTTACTCCTCCGTTTCAACAAATTTGCGACATATTTGCAGGAGTAAATTTGAGCAAGTCCATTTCTTTGTCCAGTGCCAAAAAAATCGATCACTGATACTTCGCATAATAGAAATTACTGCCGAAAACACAAAGCGGCTCTAAAATTTCAGCATTAATTATTCATTCGTAGATAGATAGATAGATAGATAGATAGATAGATAGATAGATAGATAGATAGATAGATAGATAGATGGATGGATGGATGGATGGATGGATGGATGGATGGATGGATGGATGGATGGATGGATGGATGGATGGATGGATGGATGGATGGATGGATGGATGGATGGATGGATGGATGGATGGATGGATGGATGGATGGATGGATGTATGGATGGATGGATGGATGGATGGATGTATGGATGGATGGATGGATGGATGGATGGATGGATGGATGGATGGATGGATGGATGTATGTATGGATGGATGGATGGATGGATGGATGGATGGATGGATGGATGGATGGATGGATGGATGGATGGATGGATGGATGGATGGATGGATGGATGGATGGATGGATGGATGGATGGATGGATGGATGGATGGATGGATGGATGGATGGATGGATGGATGGATGGATGGATGGATGGATGGATGGATGGATGGATGGATGGATGGATGGATGGATGGATGGATGGATGGATGGATGGATGGATGGATGGATGGATGGATGGATGGATGGATGGATGGATGGATGGATGGATGGATGGATGGATGGATGGATGGATGGATGGATGGATGGATGGATGGATGGATGGATGGATGGATGGATGGATGGATGGATGGATGGATGGATGGATGGATGGATGGATGGATGGATGGATGGATGGATGGATGGATGGATGGATGGATGGATGGATGGATGGATGGATGGATGGATGGATGGATGGATGGATGGATGGGTGGGTGGATGGGTGGATGGGTGGATGGATGGATGGGTGGATGGGTGGGTGGGTGGATGGGTGGGTGGGTGGATGGGTGGGTGGGTGGGTGGGTGGATAGATAGAAAAAAAGATCATCATTGCTGGTGGGGTCGTGCATACTAACAAGAAAAATAAGAAGTGCTAAAAGCAAATGTACGATTAAAAATCAAAAACTGTTAAAAATGTTTAGAATAGGTCGTGAAAATGTACAATTAAAAATTAAAACTGTTAAAAGTATTCGTAACCGATATCTCTATTTTTAGTAGTGGCTAAGATTGGTTCGAAATGCATTTTATCGGTATCAAATTTTACAAGACAGCGTTTAAATTCTTTCAAGCTTTTGGCCCTTGTTTCCTTGTTCGTTAAAGTGTTTCATGCAATTGCTCTTCTAAAGCGTATGGAGTTCCTGATAAAATTTGTTTCTGGTCTTGGAAGAATGATGTTCTCATTTCTTCTGCGGCCTGAATTCCTCTGTAAAAACAAATCTTTAAATTCCGTGACGGTGTAACCTTTTAAACACTTGAAGACAAACTCCGTTAGTCGCAGTTTTTACATTGTTTCCAGACTATCCCATCCAGTTCGCATTAAGACATCTTCGGCGCTGGTGTCTCATGGCAGCCCATATACAATCCGTCCAGCCCTTGCATGGAGTTTCTCCAGGTTGTTTAGGTGCGTCTTTTTGCACGATCCCCACACTGTCAGACCGTATGTAACTGATGGCA